GTAGGCAGGTAGGTAGGTGGTAGGTAAGTGGTGGTGGCTGGGTCGGTGGGTAGGTAAGTAGGCAGCCAGGTAGGCAAGTAGGTAGGTGGGTGGGTAAGTAGGTAAGAAGGTAGGTAGGTAGGCAGGTAGGTAGCAGGTAGCTCCCTCAAGCCTCGGAGTTGGGTGAATGAGTGAGTGGGGTGAGTGGGGCAGTGCGTGAGACTGAGAGTAGGAGCGAAAGTGACTGAATACATTTTAAATCAGTGGCTTATACACCATGTAGTGCAAAGACCGGACGACAGGAAGACCCACACGGATTGGCATGTCCAGACGTTGTACCGCGCATTGAAGGAAGCGGTGCCGCAGCTTCGCGGTGGTCGTGGCTCCATGACGTGCGCCGAATCACCGCAAGCCGAATCCGATGAAACAGGTTTAGGGTTCAGGGTTTAGGTACCGTGGACAGCCAACATGTCATGGTTGCCCTTGTGCACTTTTCCGCCCACCCTTGCGCACAGCAAGTTTTGGGTGCTTGTGTAGTGTAGTGGCGTTTTGAATAGATCGCCTCTGTAGTAATAAGTCAAGAGCGGGGCTTTCGATCAACCCAAATGTCTGTATCTATATCCATCTCTCTCTCTCTATATATATATATATGTATACATATGCATATATGCATATGCTATATGTGCATGCGGTATCAAATGCAAGTGCTAGTTAAATGAGTGCAAAACCTACATGTACAAGTAGCTAGCATATATTTAAAACTCTTCGAATGTTCCTGCGGCATGCATGCGCTGCGTCTTAGAACTGTTGATCTGAGGCCTGGGCATCATCGCCATCATGGGATTCATCATCATTGGATTCATAGCCATTGGCCTGACAGATCGCTTGGGCTCATGACGGCATCAAGGGCATGTCGTGGTGACAGAGCTGACCCCATCGCACTTGTCTGCAGGTTGGCTGGAGAATTGTTGGCTGCAATCAGCTTACCAGTTGGGCCGTGCAGGGATAACAAGACCTTTCCATACGCATGTCGGAACAGAACAGTTGTTGTTAGGAAGCCATGCAAACGGACACGAGTGCTGTACTTCTTGTTGGATGCGCTTGGGATGAGCTTGTTCTTGTTGTCCTGCCCTGTCCAAGCATGGGGCAGCAATAGCAATGGCTGCCTGTTCCGAAGGCAACTCGCCAACTGAAAGAGCAACACCTGTCGCCTTTGCATCTCACCGTTCATCCTTCCAAGTGCTTGTGGTTTTGGGCAGGGGTGCGGCGATAAATTGGAACAGTAACAAGGGGCAAACTTTCACTGGCTGACCGAGGACGCATCGGTGTGGATGCAAGTGGGTCAGTAGAGGAGTGTTGGCATCGGTGAGTTTCCCAGCTTCAAAGTTGAAGGCAGGCTATACTCCAAGGATGCGGGAGCAGGGCGTGAACGAGTTAGTCGCTTATAAGCACCAGAACGTCGGACGCAGCTGAAACAACTGCAAGACACGAGTTCTCAGAAACCCTTCACGCAAAATCTTTTCCGCAATCTTGAACAGCCTTTCATAGAGTCTCGCAGCCGAAAGCCACACTCATCCAAGGCACATGCCCATCATTCCCGGCACCGGCATTGCACCAGGCATGGCGGGCATGGCAGGCATCGTCCCAGGCATACCAGGCATGGCCATGGGCATCCCCATTGCCGGCGCCATGTTGGGGCAACTAGGCATCGCCGGGACCTGTGCGGTTGAGGACATAGGGTTTAGGCTTAGGGTTCAGGGTTCAGGGTTTAGGGAAGTTTAGGGATCGTGCGGGGGGGCTTCAAGGCTCACTCTCACTACACTTTCGTTGCTGATGTGGCTCGGAAACTCAACAATTCGATGAGGGAGCGGGTGCTCACGTCCGAAACACACTCACGTCTGAAACACCGTCGAAAGGCAAAAACAAAGTTCCGTAGCCAATTGGTCCCGACAGACCATACGGGCTCAAGGGCCCTTGCGCCAATCTACCTCTTGCTCCTCGAAGACACACTCCCGCACAAGCTACGAATCATAGAAGATTAACCCTAAACTTTCCTAAACCCGAAAGCCTCAACTCTTAAGCTCTAAACACCCTATAGACCCAATAAATAAAGCAGGCTCCGATCCTTCTGCACGGAGCGAAACCCTGGAATTCCATGCTTCAGCCCTGAAGCCTCAAGAGCAAAACACGGCCCTAACACCCCAAAACCTACCCCTTGACTTGTGAATATGATTATGGGTGTGGTTGTGGTGGCGATGATGATGATGAAGAAGAAATCAATGCCTATTCACTAGACTTCCCGTTCCTTGGTTTGAGGCATGATGTATATGGGTAGTTGTCAAAATTATGGCCCCTTTTGGGGTACCCTAAATAATAGGTGCCGTATTATAATAAGGACCCAAAAAGGGACCATAATTTTGACAACCACCCATATATAAACCGGAACCCCAAAGACCGAAAGCCCTGCGCTGCACCGCAGCCATGGTTGCCATTGGCGCTGCCGCCGGTGTTGCTCCGGGTGGCTCGCTACCTCTTGAAGCGAGATGAAAAACCGAAAACCGCACGAGTTGTGTACTGTAAGGCTCTAAAGGGCTTGATCATGTCACAAGCGTTTAGGTTCAGGGTTTGGGGTTTACGATTTGCAGAGTTTTATAGTTGTGGCATTATAGGGCTTCTCATGTGGCTTACACTCTCACATCTCGGCTGTAGGGCTTACGGCGAAGTAGGGGCTAGCGGTAGCAGGCGGTAGACTAATACTACTATATGTAGATCTGCTACTACACTAACGGCTCACTTTTCAGCAACACCTGTCCCATACTCACAATGCTAAGCCCACCAACGGCAATGCCGTGCTTTCGTCCAGGAGTGGGCTAGGCACAGCTGTAAGGCGGGGATCAAGCTTGGGGACTGAGTGCTGGAAGGGGGCTGCCTCCAGTTGCACAGGTTAAGAATACATGCGGATTCTGAGTCCTGCAACCCAAAGGGCCCAAGTAGTAATATGGCAGCTACTTTGTAGGTATTTGGGCCCCCAAAGTATATGCTATACTATAACTTGGACCCTTTAAGCAAGCAGGACTGACATATCGGCCGGGCGTCACCCGTTCGCCTATCAAAACCGGACCTGGGCTCCTAACAGCACGGGCAAAGGGTGCGACCCCTGAGCATCCCACACAGAAAACCGAATTTCCACCAAGAAGCTATCTCCCTCCATGGCTCCGGTGGAGCTTCGCGCCCCTTCTCTGCTGAGCCAGACGTATGTTCGGCACAACGTGTTCAGGGATCTTCGGTTGCTGGGACTTGCAACGCATTTCGACTGCTGCGCGGAAGTTTGTGTACCTGGGTCGTCTCTAGTAACTCTAGTAATGCAGCATCCTCAGCCGTCCCTGCCGATGATTTCACACCATGTCTTAAAGTTACTATCCTAACTCAACCTACTCCGTGAGCCACAACTGGCTATCCGCCTAAGGCATCCCAGTTGCATCCGCCAGACACCTTTTTCAATGCCACCCTAAGCCAGGCCGGCCGCCGTCAGCGCATCGTATGCATCCTTGATGCGCTGGAAATCCGCACTTCGAGTCTGATCATCCGGTCGCTTGTCCTTGAAAGCGGCTCAGGATTTTTAGGGAGGTTTAGGCTGCATCAACTCGTATGGTGTTTGGGGATGTTTGGGATTTTTAGGGAGGTTTAGGCTGCATCAAACTCGTATAGTGTTTGGGGTTCAAGTCATCTCTCATCGGTCGGTACAAGGCTCCTGCTTAGCCTGAGGGCGGTTATGGACCACTTTGCGGCTCTGTCCTTGTCATGTTGGCTTGTTTCAGTCGGCAGTATGCAAACGAGCTCTGCTGCTTTACCATCCTCATCTTCAGCCCAGTCTTCATCTCCATCCCCATCCAAATGACCCAGCATTGTCGTCGTCTTCCTCCCTCTCACCACTGACTGAACCAAGTGTGCCTGCAGGCATCATCATCTCATTCCATCGGCTGCAAGCAGGTTAGTGCTAAACATGATATGCCACAAGCCAATGGTGTGCGTCAGTGCCATGCATCTTCGCCGACAGCTTACTGTAAGGGATCATCGATTCCACACCCGGGAGAACCTCTAGGCTGCAGGTGCGTTGCAGCCATGAGCTTGCCCGCACATATTCCTTTAGACCTGCTGCGAGATGGTATTCATGAATTCACCAGTTTGCGTATTTGGGGATTGCCTAGCATGTCATGAGTCCAGCACGCAGTTAGCCAAGGAAGGTCGCAGAGACGACGTGAAGTTTAGCCAGATTACAATCGCTTCATCATGCAACAAAAAACAGGCAAAAGCCCCCGAGCTTCACGGACAGTGGAGGTCAAACTTTAAAGGGGGCAGTGCTTGCGGTTAGAATCTTAGAACTTCGGGATTCCTGCATCTCTGAAAGTGAAACAATCCCTGAAGCAAAGCCCCCGTGCTGCGTTTACGTTATCCCTGGCGCCTTAAAAGCAACACACCACAGCCCAGCAAATGCAAAAGCAAGCTCAGGCACGGGATGATACTTCAAAGCAAGACTACCTCAGCGCTGGGCGTGGCAGGCAGCTGTTACACGAAGGGCCCAAACGGGCGAGCGTTACGAGCCCTGAAGAAAATGCCCTGTCAGAAGGGATCGGCAGAAATAGGTCCTAGGCGGTCCAACTTCTGGCTCGGAATCATTTTGCCGAAATTGATCGTGTTCTTGTAGAACTCCAAGATATTGAAATCGGAGCTGATTAATTCTAAATCTTTCCAGTCCAAGCTTGCCTACGTTGCTTCGGATTTTGGGTGTCGGGTGTCGACGTCTTCCCCGGAAAGGGCTTCGACAGGTCCCAGTTAGATTTCACACGATATAGGTTACTCCATTTTTCAGGATATAGATAACCGTCAGGAAATAGCCTAACCGCATCTTAGAGGTATAAAACGAAAGACAGTGGTTGCAAATGCTTGGTCGCTTGGCAAGCATGAAACATAAACCGGAGGATTCGAACAGAATTTTATGGGTGACCCTACAGAAAAAAAGGTAGGTTTTGGTACATCGGACCATGAACCATAATCCTCCCACGCGAAGACCCCCGTGCATTTCACTCTGACAAGGCTAAAGCGGCATAAACAAAAATGCTCAATACCCTGAGCTCAAAATCGCCAATTATAACCTTCTACATTAACTAAAACCCTAAACCCCATTTACCCCAAAACCACCCAAGTCCTAAACCCTGCTCAACCATAAACCCTATAAGCCCTGAGCCTGTAAACCCTAAACCCGAAACCCTAAACCCGAAAACTCTCAAATGCAAAGGGGCGGAAGGCGCGTTTCACCGCTTCGGCCGACGCCGGTGCCGTGAGGCCGAGGGTCGCCAGATGCTGGCGCACGGAAGCCTCCTGCTGTCAATCTTCAAGGGTATAAGACATATAGCAATAACGAGAATCAAAAAATGATAATGATGAATTATATAAATGTATGTGTATATATATATATATATGCATATGGATAGATGGATGGATAGATAGATAGATAGGTAGATAGGGTTTACGGGCTTTTGAGCCTTGCCTTTTTTGGCATTCGCTCTCGACAGCGTCATGCGAGGCTTTAGGGGAGCTTAGACAACTGACATGCTGTGGGGCTATAGGTCCTAAACTTAGGACTGAGCCTCGGTTTGATGGGGTTGTAGATTTCAGTTCAAGTTTAAGGTTTCGACTCTCAAAACCTGGCAAACCACGGCGAGGCGTCTGACTAACTCGTCGGGAACGTTTAGGGATTCTGCCGTCGCAAAAAAGGGTATAGCTATTCAACAGTATATTCACAACAGCAAAAGTCAGAAGGATGACAACGACATAACTGGAATGTTTGACTCCTCCGGAATTCAAGCATCTGAGCTTCAGCACTCACAGCTAAACCATGCCTCGCGAAGTTTGTGGGTGGGTTGTTGTCTACGGTTCTTTTTGCAACCTTTTCTCGCTTCTCCCCAGGCCGAGCAGCCTGCACGGAAATGACCCTCCACCAGTGGGGAGCTGAAGGCACGAGCCGGCATTGAAGGATGTCGTGCGCAAGGTGGCGAGGCTGCCAGATCTGGCAGCTCAAGGTGGGAGTTCACCGGGTCGTCAGAAATTCGATCACCGGACAACACACACACACAGAAACTTATGATTGCGCAGACTGCCCAGAGGACTGTACAACGTTGGGCACGCTGCCGCCCACGAATATTTGCGCGGCGTGGTATCCCACGGCCAGAAGTTCGACAACAACCTGGGCGCCCTTACATCAACGAATCACATTCATATTTATATATGTTCTGCCTACTACAACCGAAACCCCAAATCCGAAGATGCATCGTCCCCACTTTACATCTCAGTTGCTAGGTCAGCCTACTGGCAACACTTGGTTGCAAAGATCCGGCGTCCAAGTCCCAAGATCGTGCTCGGCGGAGTAGCAGACGGCGGAAGTTGCATTGAGACTCGGTCTTTGATCTCCTTGGCCATCTGTGCGAAGGCCTCGTCGACGTTGTGGGCTTGCTTTGCACTGGTCTCCAAATAGCACACGCCGAACTCATCTGCAAGCTCACGGGCCTCGTCGTCGGTAACTTCCCTTTTGGATGCCATGTCGCACTTGTTGCCCACCAGCATCTTGTTGATCCCAGGCTCAGCATACTTGTCAACTTCCTCCAGCCAATGGCGTACGTTGTGAAAGGACTGACGGTGCGTGAGGTCGAAGGCCACGATGATCCCATGCGCGCCTTTGTAGTAGCTGGCGCCCATGGTGCGAAATCGCTCCTGACCAGCACTGTCCCAAATCTGCATCTTGGCCTTCTTGCCGTCTAGGGAGATCCTCCGGAAACGGAAGTCGATGCCGCAGATGAACCCAACCACAAAGCCGTCGGAGTATGTGTCGTCTGTGAAGCGAATCAGGAGGCTCGACTTGCCCACACCGGAATCCCCGACCAGCTTTATGCGGAAGAGGTAGTCATGGTCGCTGGAAGCGGGGTGCACAACGTTTGCCATGGCGTCAGCAAGAATATGTGGAACTTCGAATCTTACCGCACTTTGAAGATGTGGGGCTTGGCTGGTTTGAGCCCAAATATCAGCATAAAGTCTTGAAGGTCGGCATTTCGAACATGGGCTGTAGTAAGTCAAGAGCTAGTCAACAATCCTGATAAAACAGCAGGTGCAATTCACCTGTGCCGGCGCCTGCCCTGCACTTAGACCTAATCCCCCTGTAAACTACCATGACCTACTCTATTTTATCTAGGTTCTTATGTTGAACATTTATTTAACCCTGATATAAAGAACTTCTAGGGACCCCGCAAACAAGTAGGTCGGCAAGTCTTTTTGGTAGTTGAAGGTGGACCCTAGGGGACTCTGGTTCAGTTTTGCAACTCCTCGAACCAGCTCCAATTCGAACGGTTCATGATTGGCTGGTCTCGAAGACCCCGTGAAGCCATGGACACCAACCTCCCACTGAACTGATATAGAGTTCTATGCAGCTAACCAGAGCCAGGAACTCTGAGCTTTGATCCAAGGTAGAATTTGGCAGCTTAGGGTCGGAGCGAAACATGTCACTGTGATGCTCCGAACCAAAGCACCAAGTGAATGGCAAAAAAACTGGCAGGTGGTAAGAACGGTATTTAGCTGCAGTTCTGCATGACCGCTGCGAATTGTGACCTATGCTATGCATGAGGGCATATTTCGTGCATTGTGGCTTGGCGGTGATGTCCAAATTCGACCTACCGTGGCAACCTTCGAAGTTGAGCCTGCTGGCATTGTGAAACCTGAGAAAGCATCACAACCACTCACTTATTCCTTCTGTGCTTACCCCACTGCAATATGAAACCTTAAAGTCATATTGTCCATGAGCCTCCCGAGTGGGCTGATGAACTTCTCGTCTCTTTGGCCGAATGTAGCCGTTAGAATAAAAGTACCTCAGATTGCAAATGCGATCGGCTTCACAGCCCGACATGCCGAGTTGTCACTGTTGCCACGGTTTTGGGGTGACGAGTTCGAGATTGTGGAGATGTGTAATAAATGGGGCTTACCAATTAATTTGAGTAGGGTTTTGGGGTATATGATACTTTGAATATATATATATATATATACATACAGAGAGTAAGGAAGCCGAAAATAGTATTGATCATGATGAAGGCCCCTAATAGTAGATATGTAGGAGTCCTGTGGCCTGCAAACCGGAAGCCCCAAATCCCGGGGCCTCCAAAACATACCAAAGTCCAGTAGCACCCTGCGCCCCGGACTCGATAAAACGCACCAGGCAGATTCCAAAAGTCAAAAACAAGAAGCTCCCAAATGGGAGTTTCCGAAAATACGGGGTACCTTTTTTGGGGGTCCTTATAATATGGATCCTACTATTTAGGGTACTATATTAGGGTCCCCTATTTTCGGAAACCCCCAAATGCCACCGACCCTGATCTCGCCTCTAGCCTGGGTCTCAAATATCTGAGTAGCAGCTTTAAGTGCCCACAAAGATAGACACCTCTGTTACGGCCACACGGAAGCACGATATTCCACATATTCCCTGAGTACACAAGGCTTCGAAACGATACACCACCGAAATCCTACAAGCCGGAAGGCACACACTTAGCGCATTGAGTGCAAACTCACTTCACTTCACTTCACTTCACTTCGCTTCGCTTCGCTTCGCTTCGCTTCGCTTCACTTC